GAATTACTGCCCACAGTAATAATCCAGGAAAATCTTGATATTCTAAGTTCCACAATCTTAAACCTATCTGCAAAACTCCATAGTCTGTGGAAGGCCGCCTCTTCACAGATTCCCACCCAAGAGGTCAGAGGCTAGTGTTTGGCCAGCAGCACTTGACCTTTTGACCCTTATATCCCATATACTTTCATCTCACCCAGAGCTGTCTATGAAATTCCATCCCATTGAAGCATTAATTCAGAATCCTCAATCTCTTCAGCCCAAAAGTCCAAAATCTGAATCACTTAAAATCAGGTGTGAATGAAAAATCGATTAAACACAGTTCTGGGGGAATGTCCTTCTGTATCTGTGATGAACGAAGACCCAAGTTTCCTGTCTTCAACATACAGTGATGGGAACAACATAGGATAACTAGCAGTCATAATTAAGTTCTGAGTTAAGGAAGTGGCCCTGTGGCTCAAGTGGTAGAGCACTAGCCTTGAGCTGAAGAGCTCAAGGACAGTGCCCAGGCCCAGAGTTCAAGCCCCACAACCGACAAAAAAAAAAGCCACTTCTGAGTTCTTCAGATAAGATTCCGAGTTAACAAACTATCTGGATATAGTGACAAGTAAAGCAAAGTAAGTTTAGTTGACAGAGCCCCTATGTAGCTCCAAGAGCAAAAATATCTTCTCTCAGCCCACTATAGGGAAAGTTTCTGATCCCAATGTAAGTCTCTTTAAAATGTAGTGGTTTTCACTGCAGCAAAACCAAGCACACTTCATGGTTGAGAGCCCTGCTGGGTGTAATTTCCAATTTACACACACACTCACATCAGATAATTGCTGATAAATTCATTAGTGGCTGAGAAGTTAATTACATGGCCAAATAATTAAGGTGATCCATGCTTATATTGTACTCAGATCTCCCTTCACAAATGTACTGTTGTTTCTAGACATTCATTCTGGAAGCCTTCTACTGGTCTCCATGCTGCCATAGTGGGTGGGGGTGGTCTCAATGCTGTCTAAGTTAATTAGGTGGGGGTCCCCTGTATCCAGTCCTATTAGGCAGAGCTTCCCTAGTACTGGTCAGCCTACAAATTGTCTCTCACACACAACAGACCATTATATGACTTCTGGCCAGTCAATAAATATCTTAATGTCCATCTACTGCTGTGGCTTAGACAACAGTTCTCTCGTGATGCATATGCGGACATCTGGACAGCAGAACATGAGGACAGGGTGCAGTGAGATCAGAGAGCACCTGGGCCTCTCTATTTTTGTATCAAACTCAAACTGATTATGATAGAGGTGAGTTCAAAGGACCACTGATCTACACATGCCTTACGGGTTGAAGCAGGACATGTAAATAAGATACTCTGAGGTCCTAGCCATGGAGAGCACGCTCTTTGGCCGCCATACTGCTGGCATCTGGGTTGCGATTGCCTTTCCTAAGTATTTCAGGAAGATTAGCAGCAACCCTGGCCATCTCCACCCACTAGATGCCATTACTCCTCTCAACATTCAATACACTGACATTGTCCCATGTTCCCCAGGGGGGGAATATTGCACAAGTTAAGATCCCTGATCCAGAAAGGGATGGGCCTGAGGGGAGTCATGTGCTCTTCCATTTGATGGTCTCTCCATGAGTTTTTACTATGCACTAAGCAAGGACATGGGGAGAAGGGTCAAACAGTGAGGCAGCTGATGTTCTCCACCTGCCCTCCCAGATGAGCGACCAGATGGAACATTGAGAACACCTGAAGCTAGGAAGCAGGATGGGATGGAAGGGCTCACCAGGTTTTATGACTGAATATGGAGTCCTCTCCAAATGGATTGTGCGTCAAAGGTGTGGTCTCAGCTGGTGGCCCTGTTGAGAGGGGGTTATATGGTGAGGGTGCTAAGTTCATGAATTCCATTGATGAGGTTGTAGCTGAGTGGCAGATGAGGAGAGGGGGCGTAATTGGAGGAAGCAGGTCACTAGCAGCATCCTTTCGAAGGTTGTATCTTAGCCCTTCCTCTTCCTCTTTCTGCCCCTCCCAGCTTCCTGGCTGCCATGAAGTAAGCAACTTTCTTCTGCCATTCCTAATAGAGTACCTTATATCAGGCCTGAAAAACAGTCCAAGTGACCATGGGCTGAAACCTGTAAAATGGTGAAATAAATAAATCCTTCCTGCCTGAAGTTGTTTCCAGTTAGTCTGTCATAGTAATACAACGCTAACTGAAATAACAAGGCCTGGAAGGTGTGCACACCAGACATCTGATTAAGTCCTGAAGACCAAATTAATATATTGGATGTAGAAAGAGGAGATTTCAAGTGGAAGGGTCATCACAGCCTTGGAATAGCCAACAACCTTTCTCTGGCCATGGTTGAGAGTCAAGAGGCTTTTAGCTCCTCCCCATGCATCCTGAGCCGCCTCCTCATTTGGGTCTGGCACCCCTGGTCATCTGGTGATTTCTGCCTCCTCTTCTGCCTGCCTTGCTAGGCTGTTATCAAGACTGTACAAAAACATGGCTGCCTATTTCTGCTTTGTTGTGGAAATCACTGGTGCTTCTAGATATAACCTCAGCTTTGCTCTTTACCACACTCTGAGCAAGCACAGCTCCACCCCTAAATCTAGTGCATGGCTTCAGAAACCAGGCCCAGGTCCCACAGAGATCCCATGGCTGGTCTCTGCCTATTATCAATTGGGAAATGAGACAAAGGGGCTCCGTGAGCAGCAGCCCAGGGCTGTGCAGAGTTGGCTCAGCTGAGACACCATAAGAATGAACATGCAGCAATGGAACCTGGCCTCCAGAGAGTGCTTATGCACTGATTACAGGGGAAGCTAGACTGTAAAGGCCAAAACAGGTCAGGTAGAAGGGTCTGGGGAAGGAAAACTAGCCTCAGGCCTGAGTGTAAAACCTCTTCCTCCACTTAGGACTGGAGATGGTGTGAAATAGGATTATCTGATTGTCACCAGCACTCACAGAATTCAGTCAATAGTATGAACGACCAGGAGAAAGTACCTGTCTCCAGCTGAATGATGATCCTCTCAGTGTTACATGCAGTCTTCAAATGCTTTTTGCTTCTTTGAAAATTGCACCTGCTCTGAATCATACCGGATTGGGATTGTTGTGTCAGATACAAACTAAAGCTAAGAAGCTTCTATTCTGCTGGATTAAAAGCTCTCTTATATATAGTAAGCATCTGGCACAGAGAATTACTGGCGGACTAGATAAGTTGTGGACAGGCTCCCAGCTTCCTGAATTCTAATCCCAAGAAGAACTACATATACTTGTAACAGCCAACTTTTATGGAGCACCTAAATGGACATGCCAGGCGCTCAGCAGACCAGTTTCCCACTCCACCCCTACCCTGCCCGGGAAGGTACCTCTGCAGTAATAAGGTTTACAGCGTAACTCCAATACAAAATCAATGGTGAGTGATCAATGATGGAAGTTTCAAGAGCTAAGGGAGTACGAAGAGAACAGCTAATCACAAATAAATTGAGTCCCCAGAAATCCCATCCCTGGATTTTTTTCCCTGTGGTTTGATCTCCCATATGCTGGCCATCTGCAACAGACACATCTTTCCTGTGAAATTATAGTCGTTCAATTGAACATATGGTGTTAAGTTCCACTGTGGATCCTTGGAGAGCACTGTGTGTTCAGTTTAATTTAAATAAGCTCACTGAGTGACGGAGGCTCAGAGTAATGAGATGTCCAGCTTAACCGGCTGCCTTGGAATAGAAGAGATTGTTCTTTTAATTGGAAAATGTACAAATGGTTTCATTTTTCATCTACTAGATTTAAAAAAAAGTACAGAATCCTCTATAAGGAGAAACTTTCAGATGACCTCTCTGAACTGAAAAGGCAATCAAGATCTTTATAAAGAGGATTTTTAGCTAGTATACACCTATTAATGCTTAAAAAGCTAACTAGTGCAAATTAATTGCACAAAGGGTGTTGACTATGAAATTTGCAACATATAATATAGTTTAGTCAAATCTACCAATCTATTTTACTCTTTATTTGTAGTTTGAATAGTCTACAAGCATTGTTCCAATGCTGCTTTTCCACAGAAATTTGCTATACTAATTTTCTAACCAGATACGGAAGTTGTCTTCCATGTGATCGGCAGAAGATGACATCAGGACCATGACAGTGAAGAAAATTAGGTTGGACATTGGTTCACTGTCAAATACTTACTTAAGACCATGGCTACAACTAGCCACTCAATGTTTGGCTGATGCAAAACATTTCCAGGATCTTAATTTTTAAACAGTGAAGCCTGCCCTCAAGATTCATAATAAACATGAACAAAAATTTGAGCTGTGTTAAGACTGTGATGTTTGAAGCTTAAACATGTATTATTGTTTACATCATTTTCTCTTAATCATAAGCTAACATAACTCAGACTTACCTTGGTCAAAAGTTTTAACAATGATAAAAAGCTGATTATCAGAATGAAAATGTGCCTCTTCTGTTGAACAGGGTGAAGCTGAGGGTAAGAAAGCCTCCTTGACTTCAAGAAAAATACAAAGGCCCTCTTAAGATATGTTTCATGCATCTAGGAGTAATTGCTTGAATTAGAAACCTATCCAGGTGCTGGTGGCTCACACCTTTAAGTTTAGCTACCCAGGAGGCTTAAATATGAGGGTCGCAGTTCCAGGGTAGCCTGGGAAAAGTTTGTAAACTCTTATCTCCAATTAACCACCAAAACCAGCCAGAGTGAAGCCGTGCTCAAGAGGTAGAGTGCTATCTTAAGCACAAAAGCTTGAGGACAGTGCTCAGGCACTGAGTTTAAGCCCCAGGACCAGCACCAAAAGAAAGAAAACAACAACAAAACAAACAACAACTAAAAATCCCTCTGCATTGTTTCACAAATTGTAACAAAGGTATCTGTGACTTGCCTAATTCTTATTGAAGCTATAACCACTCACTAAAGCAATATTCTTGGTGAACTTTCTAAAAAGGAAAGCGGTTTTCTTACAGGGTGTCTTGGTGAGCACGGAGGAAGTCACTGCTGTCCCTTTCACGTTGCAGGAATGTGAGTTCAGCCGGAGAAGAGGCCCGCCGGAGGATGCGGGAGTGTGAGGGGCTGACCGATGCCTTGCTGTATGTGATTCAGTCTGCGCTGGGGAGCAGTGAGATCGATAGCAAGGTTTGTAGTGTCCGGGGTGATTATGTGTGTTAGAGAATAAAGGCAACCATGAGACTGAATCGTAGCTAAAAACCATAGCTCTGTCCTAACTCCATATTTTATCTAGACAGCATTTTGTTACTCAGACCACAAGTGTTCCAGGTGGGTTTGTAAATTTTGCCCATCACAGTACCCAGAGTCTTCTAGTTTTATAATATCAACTTTCACAAAAGAAATATATTAAAAACTATCTATATGAGCCAGGTGCCAGCCGCTGGCACCTGTAATCCTACCTACTCAGGAGGCTGAGATCTAAGGATCACAGTTCAAAGCCATCTGGGGCAGGAAAGTTGGTGAGACACTTATCTCCAATAAACTACCAAGAACAAGCTGAAAGTGACGTTGTGGATCAAGTGGCAAAGCGCTAACTTGAGCACAAAGAGGATCAGGGAGAGAACCCAGGCCCTGAGTTCAAGCCCCAAGAATGGCAAAACAAAACCCCAAAACAAATCTATATGAATACATATTCTCCTAAATTCTCTTTTTAATAACTAACTGTATTCATTGCCATTTTTTCTTTTTCGTTTTTCTTTTTTGCCAGTCCTGGGGCTTGTATTCAGGGCCTGGGCACTGTCCCTGAGCTTCTTTTGCTGAAGGCCAGCATTCTATGACATGAGCCATAGTGCCACTTCTGGCTTTTTCTGCTTATGTAGTACTGAGGAATCAAACCCAGGGCCTCCTGCATGCTAGGCGAGCGCTCTACCACTGAGCCACCTTCCCAGCCCTTCACTGCCATTTTAAAATGGCAGAAGGCTAAATCAGTGAATCCGTTAACATGTTAAATTGCAGCTGCTTTATTTCGCAAGCCCAGAGCTTCCCAGTGCTGGTGTAGCTGTTGTTGTCCCGTTTGTCTTGATTCCCTCGTTTCCGCCTCACACTCAGCAGAAGTTACTAACTGACTATCTTGATATGGACACAGACTTCACCAGAAGTTTTAAGTGGCAGGTGGGATTGATGGGCCTCTTCAGACTCACCCCGATTGCCACCTGGGGCTTCGTTGTGAGGCGCTGTGCACTGGATGTTGGGGGTGGTGAGTGGCATCGTTGGCCTCCACTGGCTGAATGTCAGTAACACGGCACCCCAGTTCCACAGAACAAAAATGACACCAGATGAGACTCCCCATGTGTCCAGTGGGGGGCAGACTCAGCCCTGGCAGTGGGTCACTGCCTGGATGCCCAGCTTCTGATTGCCTCCTCTTCCTCACAGTGGCCCCTGACCTACCGCATTCCCATCCTCTAAATGGGAGTAGCCCACCCCGACCTCCAGGGCTTGTCCAGGACACAGGGGTCAGGTGACGCCGTGTGCATCTTGGATTAAGTACCTCCCTAAACAGATGGAGCTTTGCAGTGCACTAGTTGGCAATCTGGCAGAATATAATGTTGGAAAGTTAGATTAACAAGATAAGTAATAAGTGATTCTGTTAACAGTCTCTGTGGGTGAGTGAGCATAGCACTTATTAACTTGGACTACAAATTAAAGTTACCAAGAATTTCTTTTTTAATTACTGACCTCTGAGACTTCCTGAAGACTGGAGCCCAATACCTGGGGTCCTGGCCCCTGGGACCCCACATCTTGGAGCGCTGCTTGTTGTCCCATCCCTCAGCTTGCTGGGCTTGCATCCATTCCCTGGCCATATGTTATTAACTCCAAAGACAAACCACAGTGCAGTGAAGATTTAACACGCCGCTATTGTAAAAAGCCCTAGTAACCATTTTAAACCTTTCAGAATCATTGACAAGAAAATTGAATCCCTAAGAAAGTGACTAGTCAAGATGTCTCGAGTATTTACGGAGGCAGGTTAATACGATAGACACAAGTTCACTGCCACAGCAAGGCTGAGCATGTTACTATTCACCACAGTGAGAGACCAGGGCACCCACCGGAGGCAACGCCTGCTGCCTACCGCCGAAGGGATACAAAGGAGCTGTACTGCTATCTGAACAATCCAGCCAGTAGGCCAGGGCCTCAGGCAAGTTCCTCTGCCATTACCTCTGACATTTCACCCATCTTCAGGAACTCAGTTTGTGCACCATTTTCTGTTGTTTGAGATGATCCGACTTGCCATGCTCTTAGGGGACCTTGGTGAGCATCTATTTTAGCATCCACATTTTCCCAGAAAAAGAATAGGTAATGAACGGGAGTTTCCTTGGCTAGACTCAGAAGACCAGATGGTCAGGGCATCAAGACGGGCCCCAGACAGTACCCGTTTCCTTCCCAACCAGCTAGAGGGACATGCCATGTCTGGCCTGAACTCATGACACAGCCTTGCCCTGGCTGAGAACACGTCTGTGATCAGATGGGATGCATGTCCCTGCTGGCCAGCCAGGGCTATCTAGTTTGATCGTGGCATTATTGCGCCACCCTTTTCCACTCAGCCCCTCTAATCAGCCACTTCAGAGCTCTCACAACAACGGCAGGACGGGGAGGGAACATGCGAACATACGCTCCTTAAGGCTAGAGAAGTTAATGAATAAAAGAGTCTGGATTCCGCACAGGCTTGCCGCTCTGCTGCTATAATTGGCACAATGTGTTGAATGGGTAACATATGGTAGAGACTCTGTAGATGACTTCCGAATTGGCCCTTTCTAATAGGAAAGAAGGACTCCGAATGACCCTGGTGACCAAGAAGAATGGCTGAGAGTGTTGTTGACAGCAGTGGGTGTTACCAGCAAAGCCACCGGCTGCCACTTGCCTTCTGCTGGTGTCCTGGTCTATTTTTTTTTCTTTTCCTCTCCTCCATTCCTTGAGAGAAAAGCACTTGAACTAGTAGCTTACCTAAACTAAGCCAGACTGTAACACTCCAGGAAGCTTAATGAGAGATATGAGTTTGATCCCAAGGCCTCACTCCCCTCCCACCCAGTCCTAGTCTCTCTCTCTCTCTCTCTCTCTCCCCCACACACTCTTTCTTTCTCCCTCTCCTTTTCCCCTCTCCCTCTCTTCTCTTCCTCTCTCTTCCCCTCTTCCTTTTTTCTCCCTCTCTCCCTCCCTTCCCCTCTCTTCTTGCTCCTCTCTGTTCTCTCTCCCCTCCCACCTTCTTCCCAGATCATCTCTCAGACACAGGGAGATTATAAAGCATTTCTCAAAACTGCAGATTTACTCCCCAGTAGTCATCTGTTAAACAGAGGAACGGCAAAGCCCCCCGGAGGATGAACAGCAGGATGAGAAAGAAGTTTATTCTCCCAGGTCTTTGATGTAAGAAAAGTCAGTTTGAGCTGATTTGAAAATCGTTCTGACTTGTGCCATAACATTTTCCTTTCAATGAGAGACTTTTCTGTCTTTCATGCGTCTGCCCGTGTTTACCTGCTTTCATGCCGGGTTCCCTTTTTGAAGCTTGAAATAGAAAATCAAGTTGACTCAAAGCCTATGGGATTAGCAGCCCTGAAACCTTGAAAAGCCAACAAGAAAGGTCTAGAATGGCAAAGGCTCTGGAGACAGATCCTGAGAATTGGTTTTCCTGGTTGATTTTTCACAACTTCCATCCCTCTCCTCCTCCGTGAGATAAAGGGCACAGGCTGCGACTGCCTTTTTCCAGATGCAGGATTGGGGTAGCCTGGTGTCTGCCCTGATCCTGGACTGGGGCTCTTTTTTCCTGCCTCTGTGAGGTGCAATGGGGTCATCTGCCTCCGGTGGTGGTAGCCACATAGAAAAATTAAAACTATGGTGGTGGTCGAATTGGCATAGTAAAACTTAGCTCTGTTAAGTAGTTTTTCCTCTCATTGGTTTGCCTCTTTATAAAATTATCTGGTTTCCTTGTTCCCCTGGTTACTGAAGGACAGAACAAAGGTGGAAAGGGCAGACAACTTTTCTGCAGGCCAGAGGCTAAGTGCTTGAATCTGCACAGAGGGGTGGCTTCTGTCCTAGCCCTCCCATTGTGTCAGTGCTGGCGGACCATGTCAGAGATGATCGTACACACAAGGGGCACGTGTTCACCACGAACACATTACACACTACAAGCTATACACTGGCTTTGGCTCGCCGGCTGCAGTTTACCAAGCCCCCATCTCACTGGGGGAAGTTACCGGAAGGCGTGTTTCCAGAATTCCACACTCCACTTCCCATAACAGCAGCAGACACTTTCTGAACAGGCACCATGTAGCAGGAACTGTGCCTGTAAACTCTCGTAACCCTCGTGGTAGTCCTGTGACACCAGTGCTTTCTCTTCACCTCCAGTTCCCAAATGAGGACACAGAAGCACAGAGAGATGAAGTACACAGCTCACTCAACAGCAGAGCTGGAACTCAAACCCAAGCCAAGGCAACTACAGTGCGTCTCATGCCCAGATCTCCAGACTGGGCAGGTTCCCAGCCTTGTTAATGACTGGGTAGTGTTTGCTGTGCCCCAGGCACTCTCTTATAATGCTTACATGCTGTATTCATATCCTATTGCTGCTGGAACAAATGACACAAATTTGGTGACTTAAAAAAAAAAAAACCTCATGCACATATTAGCCCACAAATGTAGAGATCAGGAATCTGAAATTGGTCTCATTAGGTTAAAATCCAAGTGTCATCAGGACTTCTGGAGAGAATTCATTTCCTTCTCTGTCCCAAGTCCTGAAGGCCGCCACGTCCCTTGGCTTGTAGCCACTTCTACATCTTCAAAGTCACATCCTTCCCTTGTCACACCCTCCGAACTTGGCACTTGCTTCCCTTTTTCACTTACAGGGTTTTTGTGATTGCATGGGCTGCATGGATAATGCAGATAATCTCCACTCATGACATTCAGCCAATAAACAACCTTATTTCCAACTGCAGCCTTAATCTCCACTTTGTTGGCAGAATTTAACTCACTCATAGGGTCGAGTACTGAAGGTGGGGACACTTACTCTGTGTGGAGGTGTTATTCTACCTTCCAGGTACTACATTAGCTTAACTGATCCATGCTGCAGCCAACTATGAGCTCCTGTTGTGATCATAGTAGGAGATACTGAGTTGTGGAGATAAGTACATTGCCAAAACCATATAAGAAATATTGATAGGATAGGGTTCCACAGATGTCCACCTCCACAGGAACCCTTATCTCTGCTTAACCCTTTGCTAGGAATATCAGGATGGAAGCCATCTTGAAAAAAAAATCAAGATGAGCCTATCAGTACTTTACAGCGCCTCCTTTGTCCAGGACAACCCTGCTTTGCACCTGTTGCTCCTTTTTATACCCGGGCTAGGCAAACAGTGCATGTTGGTGTCACTGCCAGCACTAACTGAAATCCATTATCTGTGCTCCTACAAACAGATGAGTTTTGGAACTTGCCTGTGGTTATACCTTTTTCTCCTCACATGTGAATTTCAGTCCTAATAGCCAATGTTTATAGATGTGATGAGGATTCATTTCTTAGCTGAGAGCCCCAACCGGAAGACCTTAAAACTTCTCTAGATTCTTCCCAATGTGGCTCTTGGACCCAAAACACAGGGGTCACGGATTTATGCACGACCAAGCTGACGCTAGGATAGTTTGTGCAACACTGACATCCTTTGAACAATTAACAGGGTGGAACAGTGAGTATCAGGAAGCTGAAATGTATAAACACGAAGTGTGACAAACGATTGGACTGGTGGAGGAAAGGGAGGAAGGTGGGGAGAATGGTAGAAAGGGCGGGAACCTCGTTCTACAGCCCGCCGGAGGTTGGAAAAAATTAAGCTGAAGTCTCCCTAGAGGCCCAGCGCGGGGGGTGAAGGCCTTTCCCGGACGGGCACTGCAGGGCGCCGTGCAGCGTGTGCTCATTCCCCTCCTGTCTCCCATTTTGTCTCGGGGTCCTGCAGACCGTTGAAAACTGTGTGTGCATCTTAAGGAACCTCTCCTACCGGCTGGCGGCAGAGACGTCTCAGGGACAGCACATGGGCACGGATGAGCTGGATGGGCTGCTCTGCGGCGAGGCCAACGGCAAGGACGCCGAGAGCTCCGGCTGCTGGGGCAAGAAGAAGAAGAAGAAGAAGTCCCAGGATCAGGTGATGCGGGCGCTCACCTGCATGCGATTGTCCCCTCCCCCTCCGCTGGTGAGACGCACCTGTGTGCAGAGGGCGCGGTGAGGCCGCGCCTGCGCCTGCGTGCAGAGGGCGCGGTGAGGCCGCGCCTGCGCCTGCGTGCAGAGGGCGCGGTGAGGCCGCGCCTGCGCCTGCGTGCAGAGGGCGCGGTGAGGCCGCGCCTGCGCCTGCGTGCAGAGGGCGCGGTGAGGCCGCGCCTGGGCCTGCGTGCAGAGGGCGCGGTGAGGCCGCGCCTGCGCCTGCGTGCAGAAGGCGCGGTGAGGCCGCGCCTGCGCCTGCGTGCAGAGGGCCTGGTGAGGCCACACATGCGCGGTGAGGCCGCACTTGCGCCTGCATGCCGAGGACGCGATGAGGCCGTGCCTGCGCCTGCGTGCGGAGGGCGCGGTGAGGCCGTGCCTGCGCCTGCGCCTGTGTGCCGAGGTGCTGTGAGCCTATGGATCGCCTGCGTGCAGGGGCGCGCGGTGAGTGCCTGATCGCGCCTGTGTGCTGGGGCGTGCAGAGAGCCGAGCGCGCCTGCGCAGTGCTCTCGTGGGGGTTGCGTGAGAAGCGGGTGGAAGGTAACTGGTGTCTGCCGTGTGTGGCCGCTGAGCCAAGGTAGGAAGTGGCAAATCAAGGCCGAAGCCACGCGAGGCCCGGCGTGCTCTAGGAGACGCGGCCGGGCCGGGCGTCCTGCGTGGACTCCAGTGTGTGAGGGCCTGGTCGAGGCCGGGCCGCGGCCTGCGGGAGGCACGGCAGAGGGGAGGGAGACCGCGTGGGGGCCGCAGGTGTCCCTGCATTCGGCTCTGCAGTCTTGCTCTTGTCCCTAGACGTGGGGACGACGGGGAACACTATGGGGTCGGCGGGAGCACTGCGGGGACGGCGGGAGCTCTGTGGGGACGGCGGGAGCACTGCGGGGACGGCGGGAGCACTGCGGGGGCGGCGGGAGCACTGCGGGGGCGGCGGGAGCACTGCGGGGGCGGCGGGAGCACTGCGGGGAGCACTGCGGGGAGCACTGCGGGGGCGGCGGGAGCACTGCGGGGAGCACTGCGGGGGCGGCGGGAGCACTGCGGGGAGCACTGCGGGGGCGGCGGGAGCACTGCGGGGGCGGCGGGAACACTGCGGGGAGCACTGCGGGGACGGCGGGAGCACTGCGGGGAGCACTGCGAGGCGGCGGGAGCACTGCGGGGAGCACTGCAGGGGCGGCGGGAGCACTGCGGGGACGGCGGGAGCACTACGGGGAGCATTCTGGGGGCGGCGGGAGCACTGCGGGGAGCATTCTGGGGGCGGCGGGAGCACTGCAGGGAGCATTCTGGGGGCGGCGGGAGCACTGCTGGGGCGGCGGGAGCACTGTGGGGAGCATTGCGGGGAGCACTGCGGGGACGGCGGGAGTACTCAGGGGTGGCGAGGAGGAGCACTGCGGGGATGGTGGGGAGTAATCGGGGCGCTGTGGAGAAGCGGGGAGCGCGCTGGACGGCTTTAGTGGGTCAGCAGCTCTGTCGTCAATGCAGAGCCCGCGGGCAGCCGCGGCCCTGGGGAGAGACCGGAAGGGGGCGCCGCCTGCGGCCACGAATCCCGCCAGCCATCGCGCATGCGCACATGAGCGAAATTGCATCCTGTGCCTACTTCACTGCGCGCAGGTGTCCACTTCCCCCCCACACACAGCGCGGTCACGTGCTCACCTCACCCCCCCCCCCCACACACCGCGGTCACGTGCCCACCTCCCCCTCACACCGCAGTCATGTGTCTGAGATCCCCTCACACCGTGGTCACGTGCCCACCTCCCCCTCACCGCGGTCACGTGCCCACCTCCCCCTCACACCGCGGTTACGTGTCTGAGATCCCCTCACACCGTGGTCACGTGCACACTTCCCCCCACACACACCGCGGTCACGTGCGCACTCCCCCCCCCACACACACACCGCGGTCACGTGCCCACCTCTCCCTCACACCGCGGTCACGTGTCTGAGATCCCCTCACACTGTGGTCACGTGCACACTTCCCCCCACACACACCGCGGTCACGTGCCCACCTCCCCTCACTGAAGTTCCCGCCTCCCGGACCCCGGGACTTTCCTTCCGCGGGGACCGCGGTGCCGGCCAGGGCTGTGCGGGCCCGGCGCCCAGGCGCCAAGGTCGGCACGGTGGGCTCCGGCCTGTGCGGCCCCACGGTGCGCCTGCCCCGAAAAGGGAGGGCAAGACGCGTGGGGAAGGGCCTGGCGGGAGTGTCCGCGTGCGCGGCCGCCGCCTCTCTCCACATCCGCACCTGCCGGCCCCGCGGCCGCCTGCGGGACCCCGTCCCGAGCCAACCCCAGCTGTGGTCCCGGCCCCGCGGCCGCCTGCGGGACCCTGGACCCCGGGAGCCAATCCCAGCTGTGGTCCCGGCCCCGCGGCCGCCTGCGGGACCCGGTCCCGAGCCAATCCCAGCTGTGGTCCCGGGGAGCCGCGCGTCTGGCCAGGCGCGCGCTGCTGGCGCCGCCCAAGGTGCTTCCCAGCCTCCAGTTTTGCATCCAGTGCCTGTTTTTCTCCTTTCACACTTGTCACACGTAAGAATGCACTATTCCACACTAGGCATTGTAGACGGTTTCCTCAGCCATTTCCTATGATGGAGTAGGACAGCTGTTTACACAGGATTTACCAAAACAGTCCGATTTAAAGAGATTTAGAGATGATGTATATGCAAATACAAAACGATTTTTTTATGAGGGACTTTGACCTTATATGGATTTTGGCATCAACTGGGGTCCTGGAACCCATACCCTAAAGATAGCCAGGGATGACGCGATTTGTAAATAATTCATGCATAAAATAGTGAGCTACAAAAAGATAATATTCTCCACTGTTCCCTTTGTATAGAAAGTTGACACAATTGGTAACCTTTCAGATCGTTTCAGTATGTTTATAATCATTTAACAATTCAGAAAACAGACTCCATTGGCTGAATTTGCACAGTCTTTTAGTAAAAGTATGTTTCCTTCTAATGCAGAAATTTGCTCCACATCCATAGAAATAGGTTCACTCTGTACGTTATGATGCTGATGCTGTGTCTGTGGTGCCTTCATGGTGCTGCTCCTGAGCTTTCACTCAACACTGGTGCTCTCCGTCTTGAGGCATACTTCCACTTCCAACTTTCTGGTGGCTAATTGGAGATGTGACCTTAAACTGGGATTCTAAGATCTCAGCCCCCTGAGTAGGTAGGATTACAAGTGTGCGCTATTGCTTAAAGATGCTGCCCTTCTCCTCCTCATCCTAGGTGGCTCTTCACATTCCAGTTCTGTAGTAAAAATGAGAGAAAGAAGAGGACCTTCTGGTTAGAGCTCCACCCATCATATGCACCCATCATATCCAGGCAGACTTCGCTGGCTCCTAGTAGCATCTGAGCTGCAAGGGAGTCTGCAAAGAATAGCCTTTCCTGGGACAGTCAGGATTTCTATGATCTAGATAAAGGGGAGGGATGGTGGGGAAGGGAAGCCAGGAGTGGTGTCACACATCTGTAATCCCAGCTAGTAGCTACACAGGAGGTAGAGGTAGGAGAATCTAGGTCTGAGGGAAGCCCTAAGCAAAAATGACACTCTATCTGAAAAATAAAAAGGCTAGAGAGGATGGCTCAAGTGGTAGAAGGCTTGCCTAGCAAGTGTAATTCTGCCAAAGAAGAGGTGTCAGGTTTGTTAAGGGGGTACATCAGGAGTCATCTGTCTCTGAGAGAACTACCTCATCGCTGAAATTCATTCCTCTGTGCCTTCTATTCAAACATTGCAGCCCCTTCTTACCTACACCCCTGCCTGCTTGGCCCACATCTAAAGCAGAAGCAGGTATGGAGAAAGTCGATAGGCCTGTGGCACTTTATCACTTGTACAACATGATTTTCTTCTTGGCAGGCAAGAAAATAGCCCAGTGGCTGGAATATGCCCATTTTAGGGCCAGGCTTGTCGCTGTGACCCAGAACTCTTTTTAAAGAAAATTACCTTGTTCATCCCCTCCCTTTTTGTTACTAACCTAGACTGTAGTACACATCTGTATAGTCAGACTCACCCCCTTCCTTCATCAGATCTGCTTAAGAATATTTTCTCCAAAGTGAAGTATGTAGACCAAGTTAATGTTTTAAGGCTTTGGCTACATAAACCATTATTTATCTGTATCACTCTTGCTAGTAAAAACTAGGTACATGGATTTGATTTTTTTTAATAATCACTTTATGGATCTGCCCTTCACAATGCTATTGATAGTCATAAGTTTTCATTTCCTAACATCACAGGTGTGGGGTTTTTTTCCAAATATAGTTTTCCTTATTAATAAGCACACTTTTTTCTTTGGCTGCTTCTTACCATTTCCTGTCTAGCCATCTGCTTCCTTCAGCTGCCACTCACTCCCCTGGCTGGTTCCAGCCTCGGCTCGCCCTGCCGTCACCCCTCCATATGATAGGTGCTTGATTCATGACATGATATTTCATGTCCTGGAAGCATGAAATTGCACAGACTGAGGAAGAGCAGCATGAGATCCTTCTCCTATTTCCTTCCCCACCTCCAATGGTACCTGACATTGCTGCTCTTTAAGTGACTGCACAGACTTCAAACTCTTTATTTTTAGTATTATTATCTCTAAGTGGTTGTACGAAGGGTCTTCAACTCAACATATTGTTTCTGGGTACAGTGCATCTTGATCAGCACCACCCCTTTCATCACTTGGTATTAACACCATTGCTCTCTGTCTTGGACTACCAGACAAGACTTTCCCAAATCTCTCACTGGAGATGTGTTAAGCTAAGCAGAGGGATCACAACTTCAAAGCCACCTTGGGATGCCTTTTTTCCCAAAAAAAACAATTTAGCTGTTGCTTTCCTATGTTCTAGTTTTATAAAGACATTAGGGAAGAAGGATCCTATATTTAATTTATAGATGTGGAATAAGTAAGTTTTGATAAAACTTACATATCACACAGTTTCTCGTGGCTCTTCATCTATACAAGAAATGAGCACGTAAAGAAGAGTTCTCCTACTTTAGTCTAATCCTAGCCGTACTTTGCTCAATGGTCTTGTTGATATTGGTTAATAACAGTTTCAAGTATATTAACATCACCCTTAAAGAATACTTCAAATCATTTTGTGGGAGAAACCTTCTTTTTAATGGACAGTTGATAATTCCCCAATAAAAGTTTGGATAAAGTCCGAGATAAAGGTCTGAGATACATTGTCTGACTTTGAAATAGTTCTGCAGTGTGCAGGTTCCGGGTTGCCATCCATGTTCTGAGGAGCAAAAGTCCCCTTTGAGCCCATCATTCGCTGTCGTCAAAGGAGATCTATCTTCCACATCAGTTCTCCTTTTATTTCCTCCAGGTTCTCTCTGTAGTTGTTTTTTCAAAAAAAAAAATGATTCTAATAAAAAGTATTTCAGAGTTACATAGATCTGTCAGAGCAGAAGGAAATTATCGACCGATTTAATCATGTATCCTGCTTTATAGTGAAGAAATTAAAGAAAGGAGAATAAAATGAAAGCCAGCAAGAGAGAAGGTAGCTGAGTTTCCCTCCTGCCCACTCATGCTGTTGCAGTGTGTGACGATCAGGAAATGTCGCTTCTGCGTACCTGCTGCCATCTGCCCAACTCCTCCAGGAGGAGACAGTCTCGGCCAGGTTGAGCTGAAATTTCGCCTTCTGATTTTTTGGATATTATTAGATCTTTGTATGAAAATGATAGCTTAACATGCTTAAGGAGATGACAAAGTAGAAAGTGAAACAAACAACGAATTGATATAGTCGCTACCATAGGCACCTTTCCTTTCGGAGCCGATATGACCCCTGCCTGATCAGAAGATGGACAACACTACAGTCACTACTCCTTCCCTAGTGCAGCCTCCCACCACTGCAAAGCCATTGCCAAGGAATGAGCAGTATAGCAGCGCTGACTCTCATTCCGTGCTTTTCAGAATGTTTAAATAAGGTGTGCTTGTTTCATGCAGAATTCATGCTTGTTTCATGATTCATGCAGAATCATCGCTGAATGATTAAGAAACAGCTCCAGTTAAAAGAACAAGAACTTCTGGCTAGGGGCAAGGCACAAGCGGTTGAGCACCTGCCTAAAGTCAGGTTCAGAGACAAAGGGCACATTTTCTCTCATATGTGGAAGTTACATCTAAATTATATATATTTATGTATATATAAACGTACACAGAGTCCTGTGAATAAATCTGCAAACATATTCAGGGACGGATTCCAATGGTGTAACTCCTTTGAACAACTATGAGTTTAACATAATACCAGGAAGCTGGAATGTATGTTGTATGGGGTGAGATCAAGTGCAGGGCGGTGGGGGGGGAGGGGCGGCAGGCAACTGGAGGAGAGAGGTGTGAGAATGCAGTGATAATATTCAACATACATATGTGAAAATGGAACCTGGTGAACTGGGGAGAAGGGGGGTTGGGAGAGATGGGGGAGTGATGAAGGGATGGCATGTATCCCCATGCGTTGCACTCACAAACTGACATACTGGAGTGAAACCTTTTGGTACAACTACTGAAAGATAGCAAGCACAAAATAAATTTTTAAAAACAAAAATGAAACAATCGCAAGAAAGAAGAAACATTATATGTCCCTCCCCCATGGTATAACCCCTGTTTTCACTGTATTTGAGGTTGGTATAATTTGTGGAGGGAAAGGAAAAAACAAATTGTATAAATAGGGATACAGGTGGACCCATTGCAACAATGAGATGTACAAGACGTTATGTCGAAAAACGAACTTTACAACTTTGGCAGGGGGAGAGGAGATGGGAAGGGATGGGAAGGGGAAACAAAGGAGGAGGCATCAATGCTTGATAAGAAATGTACTCATTACCTTGCCCATGTAATTGTAACCCCTCTGTACGGTATTTTTACCAAAAAAAAAAAAAAAATCAAGTTCCATGCCCTGACCATTCTTGTTAAAAGTGTTATATACAGTCCAGCTGGGTGCTGGTGCTCACACTTATAAACCTAGCTACTCAGGAGGCTGATATCTGAAGACTAAGTTTGAAGCCAGCCTGCAACTAAGCAGCAAAAAGCTGAAGTAAAGCTATAGCTCAAGTGATAGAATGCTAGCCTTGAGAAAAAAAAGCTGAGGGATAGTGTATAGGACCTGAGTTCAAGCCTCAGGACCAACACACACACACACACACACACACACATAGAATGCTGCGATCCATTGACAAACTGAAAATGATTCTTAACAGAAGTCCAGCAGCCATCCATAGGTTATCATTCATCTCTAACCTTTAGAGCCCTAACTAAAACTAAGCTTATCATAATGGAGAAGAAGGAAGACATGAGATTTTAATTTTTTCTGGAAAATCAATATTGAAATTGTGACAGCAAATAACTTCATTAGAATCTCTAGCAACAGTTCTAGGTTTTGTTTGGTTTTTGTTGTTGTTTTTATGCCAGTCCTAGAGCTTGATCTCTGCACCTGGGCACTGTCCCTCAGCTCTTTTGCTCAAGACCAGTACTTTATGACTTGGGCCACATCTCTACTTCTGGCTTTTTAGTGGTTAATTGGAGATGAGATTCTCATTGACTTTCCTGCCTGAGCTGACCTTACCAGGATCTTCAGATCTCAGCCTCCTGAATAGCTAGGATTACAAGTGAGCCACCAGTACCCAGCTTCTTCTTTTCTTGTATTAAATAAATATAGAAGCTATTTGCAACAAAGATTAGAATCATTTCAATTTTAATGATTTTTAGAGTCAGAATAAGAAGGCTTAAAATGTAGAAAAGAAAATGAAACACGAGCATTTTATTAATGCATGTTATAATAATTAGAGGTTTTACGATACACTTTACTTGGGATACTGCACAAATCCCATGATGCTTCGCATCTTTGTTCATTTAACTTTTATTGTTATCATTTGTCCAAGCTGGTATAAAGACTTCATAACTACTGTTTTTAATAGTGGATTCATATTCCTTTGTGAATATGAGCTATAAAAATTCTGTACAATTAATTTTAACTACACATTGTCCTGTTATTCATAATATTTAATTCAAGGCAAACTATCAAGATTGTATAAGAGCTACAGTTGCGTGTAGCTCATATCAGCACATCTCATAAACCATATGATCTTTTCCCTTTCATTCATTTTGTTATTTGTTTGTTAGAGGCAATGATGGTACTCAAAAGCAAATAAAGGTATATTTTTACCAGTTATATAGGGAGGTATCATAGTTGTTTATATGTTATCACGATTATGCATAAGAAGTGAAAGCATTGGATATTCATACTGATATACAACAGCTGATGTAAGAGCTATGAAACATATAGTCATCTTCCACTGTGCTCAGTCAAAAATGTACCTCCCTCCTTAGAGCAGTTGTGTTAGACTTGTTCTCAAAAAGCCTGTCCCCTCTGTTACCAGCTACAGCCCCTTCTGCATATGTCCCAGCTTCCTCCAACTTCCATCTCATGATGACAGAAATGGTTCTCCCATTTTCTGGATCCCCTATACCAAGTGTTATGACCCTGGCTTTTGTTGTTTGTTGGTGACGATGATAAAAGGTAGCATCAAGAATCATGCAGATGTTATAAATGTTGACTGTCTTGTTTCTCTTCCACCAGTGGGATGGAGTAGGACCTCTTCCCGACTGCGCGGAACCTCCCAAGGGGATCCAGATGCTGTGGCACCCATCCATAGTCAAACCCTACCTCACACTGCTCTCTGAGTGCTCAAATCCAGACACGCTGGAAGGGGCGGCAGGCGCCCTGCAGAACCTGGCTGCGGGGAGCTGGAAGGTATGGCTAGTTCATTATCATAAAAAAGCAATCTGGAGTTATGAGCAAGTATTTAGGAAAACAATACAAGTGTAGTTTTGAGAAATACAATTTAAGAAAGTTTTTTTTAGGATGTTAGAGATGAAAAAATATATTGAGCTATTGGACTTGGAAAGATGTTCGTTTAAAACTAATTTCTTCTTAATGGCTCAAGGATTCTAGAAGACCACTGCAACAAGAGAGGCGAGTGCAGTCCTAGAAAGTGCTTTAAGAGGCTCCCCTCCTTGCATACAGCTGAGCTACGAAGCTTTCCAGGAATGAGTGACATGGTGTTTTCACAGCACTGTCTCGGATCGCAATGGGATCTAATCCCCAGACACCTTGTCTAAAAACGTACATAAATGCATAAAATGTTGCATCAGTTCCTAAAGAAAAAATACCTGTGAATTTTTAAATTGTAGTATAGACTGACAGGGAAGTTCTATTGCTATGGTAGGAGGGGGAGTAATACTGAAGCGTAGATGTGGCCATTAGGAGATTAGCACGCCCCTCCCCTCCAAGTCCTTATAAACTGACACTGTTTCTGCTGACTCAACAAAAACCATCATGACCTTCATAGGAGGTAGACAGGGGTTTGCCTTAGGAAGGAATTACTTTGGTTGCTCATAGTAACACGTGCTCATGTAACTTGTTCCATAAATATGTGCAGAATGAAGATACGTGGGGAGAATGACAAAGAAAAATTAAGGAAGTGTTTTTTTTTCCCTTTTTTTCTGTTATCATTCATTGAAAACCAAGTCTGGTATTTGGGATAGTCATCAATCAATCTTTTCTTTGAGTTTCTTTCTCTTCAAAATGATCTGAACACTGACACATGGCTACAGATAATTTCCAGGTCAGAACCATCGAGGTGTACACACCCGCCTAAGCAACTGTTCCCTCATCTTTGCTTATACTTCATGGTGTCTGCCTTCCTGTCACTCCCCCACCCTTCCTCCTCCTCCTCTCCATTGCCACAATCTGACCTTCGGCATTCCCTTCTTCCTCAGCTGGGACGTCCAGGTGAGGTGACGCAGGCTCACATGTTTTCTATTCAGAGTCTTAGGAATGGACACAATTCTCCCTTTTGTTCCCTGACCAATGTTTCCACTTAAAGACTTGAGGTAGGGCTGGGCAGGAAGTAATAATGCCTCACTTTCAATCAGAAATGGATGGAGAAAAGTTTCTAAAGCAAGTTCCACCAAGCAGAAAGTCGGAGTCATTTTATATAATTAGAAAGGAACTGATAACTCATCTGAAACCCCTTTTTATAATACAATTTTTTTAAGTTTGGAAGGACATAAAAAAGTTTAAGAGCTGGGAAGGTGGCTCAGTGGTAGAGCACTTGCCTTGCATGCATGAGGCCCTGGGTTTGATTCCTTAGCACCACATAAGCAAAAAGAAAAAGCCGGAAGTGGTGCTGTGGCTCAAGTGGTAGAGCTCTAGCCTTGAGCTGAAGAGCTGAGGGACAGAACCCAGAGCCAGAGTTCAGGCCCCACAACCAGACCCAAAAAAAAAATATATTTTAAAAAGTTTAAGAATTTTAGCCCACTCTTGAAAGCTTTGACAGGCCTCAATCCTAGACCCCCGCCTTTCTGCACATGGGAACCTGAGCAAATTACAGCACCTCCTATGTCTGAGGTGCCTTATCCTTAAATAGAAGATCACAGCTGCCTCACGCACCTGAACACAGATCCATCTCAATGCTGAATGCAAATGCAGAAGTAAGATATCATAGCCCAAGGAATGTCACCGGTGTGTCCGGAGGTATTCCTGTACTGCAAATCTCCAGCCAGCCCCCTCACCTCGCTGCCCAACCTGAATGGATTTGAACAGAGGCACAAAGATCTAGACACCATTAAGGACACAATAAAGTATGACATCTTAATATAGGGTGTTCCTATTTTACCTGTTATCTTGGATCCTTACTATGGCAATATGGTAAAACATTTGGATTATAGACAATTATGAATGTAGGATTTCAACTTTTACATATATTCTCTCTGTACTAGAAAAAGGAGAAAGGAAAAATATGTGGAAGGCTCAAGTGAAACTTCTAGAGTCATAAATATAGTGTCTCAAGCAAAAACTACAGGGGATGAGATTAAAAGCACATTAAATACTGTGAAAAAGTAATTCATAGAGCTATGCACAGTGAGTAATACCTATAACACCAGCTACTCAGAAAGCAGAGATCAGCAAGATCACTGTTTGAGGTCAGCCTTGCCAAAAAGTTAGTGAGATCATCTCAACCAACAAGCTGGGTGTTTCTTTCACATCTATAATTCTAGCTACATGGGGAGCATAGGTAGTAGGATCCCCAGTTTGAGGCAACCCTAGGCACAACCACAATATCCTTTCTTAAAAACAACTAAGACAAAAACGAGGAGTGTGACTTACCTTGTAGAGTACCTGCCTAGCAAGCACAGGAGCCTGAATTCAAAAGCCAATACTGCCGTAAAGAAAAGAAAAGAAAAATATCAGTGAACTTGAAGACAGCAAGAAGAGTGAAATACAGGGAGGAAAGAAGAAGAAATGTAGAGCTTGTCCGTGCAAGCATCACATGTGATATAATGTAGTGCAGATCCACAAGAGAGAACGGAAAGAAAATATGTAAAGTAATAACGGTGAGCGTTTCTCCACGTTTAATCAAAACCATCAGTTTATAAGATAGAAGCAGTTGGAGGAAGGCCAGCCCAACACAACAGACAAGAAGAGACAGAACAAAGGATATCACTACGAAGTGCTCAGAACTAATAATAAAGAGAAAATCACTAAGGCAAGCTGAGGAATAAGACTTCTTACAAAAGAGAATTGCACTCCATTTAAATGCCACATTCAAGATGATGTCACCAGTCATCCGTTCCTTCTTCCTGCTGAGCTACTAGCTGTCCTTGAGAAGCACATCTGATTGGTAAGCCCCAAGGGCCAAAGCTACTCCCTACCTCTCTTCACACCCTGCTGCCGGGTCTGTGCTTGGCTAAGCAAAAATGGTCATGTTTAATTCAAACAGTATCTGTTCACATGTCTTTCCTGCAGATGACAGTCTTCTTTGCTTATAAACATCTTTCATATTGTGGGCCAGAGCATCCTCAGATAGACGCATTCTATAACCCTTTATTTGGCTCTGTGATTCAGAGAGCAATAAGTAAAATCCATAGGAGTTACAGAGGACTGTTGTCTTCCCATGTCAGTTCAACAGTGTTCAGCAGGCTGTAGAGGTCAGTAATGGTGCCCATTCCTGACGGTTGTACACCTTAGGCTCTGCGTCTTACATGGGCCTAGCCAGTTGGCAGAGATGCAGGAGTATGTCTGAGCATGTAAACTTAAGTCGTTGGAATAAGAAATTGATAGATCTTTGCTATTTTTATATGTTTAAGTTCTATCCTACTTTGGCTATGTGCTACTAGTTATCGGATGTTTTCCAGCAATGCCATAGTGCTGTTTCAGCAGAAACTTATAATATTAGTTTGGCCCAGTTATCCCCAGGGTGACATCTCTCTCCATATATCCAAGGACACTTATTTGCTACATTTTTCTATTGCCAGTGAAACAGACTATTGAGAATAAGGCAGAAAAGCTTGGAAGACCTGAGGGTCAGAGGTACAGAAGAAAAGCTGTTCTGTGTTTTAGACAACAGCTAAACACTATGACCAGTGGACATCCATCCATATTGGTCTATAGGCCACAAGTTAGAAAATTCAGGGAATAATTCTCATAAGCAGACACACAGATACATGACCAAGATGTGAGAATAGAGAAAGAGAAGGTAAAACATAAATCGAGAATAGAAAAAGAGTTAGAGTAAATATGAGGCTGCAAGAAAGTAAAGCTATCAGAGGTCATTCAATGTCTCGGCTCTTCCCTGTCTTCTAGTAAGTGACGGGCATAAAGCTGGTCGTCTGTGGCCAAGAGAATGCCAAGTTATTACTGGCAATTTTAGAAGATAGAAAGCATTTTAGCACCATTTCTATCGCAATGGCTAATTTTGATTCTTAGGGTATCAGTGGTATTTTCAAGTCTTAGTTCCCTAGCACTCCTAGAGAAAAGAGAAGACCTTCAGGCACACAAGGGGTTGCAAAGGAGTATTTCTGTATAGTGATAAATAGATGCATGTCTACAAAAGAGTATCCTTGTCAAAATCAACCATGTAATCACCATCAGTTAGTTAGATGGAAGAGATATAAAGATGACAAAGATATATAGAGGTAGAAATAGATACTTTTTTGTCATTTACTATATGACATAGAAAGGGAGGGAGATGATTCTGAGGTAAGAGTAGAGATTATCACCGAACCAAATGCTGATGAATTATCACAATTCCAGGAAGATTCAAAATGGCTTTTATAGAAACTGGGTAGAAAAATTCTTACTCTAAAAAGACAGTTTCACAGAAACAATTTGGGATAATTAAAATACTGACTGAGGATATAGAGTTGCATTGACTTTCATACACACAATGCTACTGTCTGAAATCTAGGCATCTCACAATGTGTTTTAAAGCAACTCTGGAAATTCAGTATATTTCTTTAGTAGTCCTTAACTTTTTATGAGCCCACAAAAACAGAATTTTGCATGGAGATTGCTTTTTATGGACCTCATCTTCTGAAACAATAACTTCTGTTTATGGGGAGAGCATACACACTCTTTTCCTGTAACAAATTGACTAGAAAACCAGATCTTCATAATGGCCCTAAACACTTTTTAAACTTTAAAACATTCATTACTTGGTTATGAGCATCAGAAAAACCTAATGGCATTGTGGCAAAAGTAAAGTGATGAATGTTTCTCCTGACCAACATGGATTCCAGTTACATTCTTCTTATGTGCACTACAGTGATTGTGGGTATTGCAGTATATTAAAACGATTGAATAGAATAGTTTGAAGATTTCCAAAATCTGGATGAATAATCCTTCAGCTCCCGTTGTGGAATGTTTCTAGCGTACCTGAGCTTCATGAAAATCCACAATTTGAACTGTAG